ATAATCACCCTTTGAGTCTTTGAACCAAACCCCCCTCAATCTTCTCTTCTCCAGGCTAACAACCCTAGTTCTTTCAACCTTTCCTTATGAGTCTTGCTTCCCAACCCCTAATCATTTGTGTTGCTCTCCATTGGACTCTTTTCAAACTGTCCACATGGTTCTTAAAGTGTGAGGCCCAAAACTGGATGTAGCATGGCAGGTACTGTTCAACATGCTGAGCAACTTACAAGTACATCCTTGAGCTTTACAAGTACTGTACTTCACAGCTTTGTTCTTGTGTTCATTTATATAGTCTGGACTCATCCTGCTCACAATAAGGTTTTTGTCAAAAATTTTATGAGGGTTGGGCCCTATAATAAAGACACGTGAAGAATAACTCTTGACTTGATAACAGGAAATAAATAGTTTGCATACAATAGAAAAGGTGGGTATCACAAAGTTTGCTGAGAACGCTCTACAAATGTTTTCAAACATCAAAGTTAGTCACTGGAAACCTGTTCATTATAACTAAACTAGGCCCCACAATGTGCTGTGTTCAGGAATAATGAAAAGTACTCTAGAATTTTAAATAATGTCAGTCCTGTCCTGAAATCCTATCAGGGAAAACAATGCAGTATCTTTGTTAGAAATGTTCCTTTCCATCCTTCATATGAGATTCTACAGTCTGTGTCCTAGATACCATATTGCTTTACTGCTGCATTTCCTGTCTACACATATTAGCACAGTCCTGTACACAGATGAAGTTACATAAAATGTCAGACACGACTTTCTTCCTCCTCCACTGCTCGGTGAAGGCCAGGAATAAATTTAAAAATTTGCTTTCGGATACTTCCTTTCCTACTTTTCCGTGGGAGTGTGCCAAAAATATTTGGGAAGCTCCCTCCCTCCCACTGAGGTGACATTGACCCATTGCTGGCAACACTGATGCTTCTGTTCCTCCTCAGTGAAGATCTCCCCACAACAGCGTCATTGTCCCTTTGGAAGAAGCAATCATCATCTAGGCTTGACTGTCGGCTCAGAGTCTCATTAGCAGAATCCTCAGAAATACAGGTCTGGTAGAAGCCATCCTCACTGTCCACTGTCATTGAACTCAATCTGCTTTTCGAGCTGCTTTCACTGGAGAATCGGGACTTAATTGGGAACGTAGGTCTGGGTGCAGTGCAGCTCCCAAATAAATTAAACTCTTCTGTTTCCATGGCATCAAACGAAGTGTTGTCATTCACCTCTCCTAGAAAATAGGTATCAAAGAAGAAACATTATACAAGGGAGATTTTCAAAAAAGCCAGAGAATGGAAAACATGTCTAATCAAAGACAATCTACAACCCAGCAGTCTGATCTTCCTGAACTGTCATTGGAGAGATATAAACCTGGTAATTCACACCTGCATGTTTGATGGACATGTCATCAATTTCATTTAATCTTCTCTAGACTTTCTCAGACTTCCTCTTTTCTCCCTTGATGTCATGACATGGTCTTTATTCCAACCAGGAAATGAGGAAGAGAGCTATAAGCATTTGTTATGTCAGGTTAGAATATCGGTCTATCCAAACCAGTGTTCTGCCTCAGGCACTGACTAATAACAGATGTTTTAGTGGAAGGTGTATTTACCAATTGTGAAAGGCTGTAGAACTCTAGCTTCCTCCTAGATGCAGAATGCAGATTCATGGGGAGGTAACATTGCAAAGTAGGAGAGTCTGAGAAAATTCGTGGGGAGGTAATGTTGCAAAGTAGGAGGATCTGAGAAAAGTATGTAATCAACACCAACTTCTGTTTAGTAGGATTTATGCAAATGACCTTTCTTCCTGTGCCAATCAAGAAGTCAGGCATTTGAATTTTTATTCCCTGATACAGTGTTCCCAGTTGCCTCGCCACCACACCCACTAACAGGATAAAAAGCAGCAAATGAGACTGACAGTCAAATAAAGTCTTACTTTCGACTGAGCATTTCAAATTTCTTCATAAGAAGCTGTGACAGTCATAAAACAGTGTGGTTTCCTAACAGGAAGTTAAAACTTACCATGCAGTAGGCGTTGTTCCTGTAACTGCAGAGACCGGAACTCCACCAGTTTTTCCCGCAAGGTTTGCTGTAGAGAGTAAATAGGGCTTTTTATCATTCACAAACTTTCTTTGAATGTAAAGTTTTTCAGAGAAAATGGTGTACTCAAAAAAATTGTACTTAACTCTGGGAAGCAGGTACTTTCAATCATATCTATGACCTTTTTGCTGATAGTATTAACAGAACCTTCATAGAAGTCAGCAAATTTATCCCAGAAATACATTATTCTGTTAATTTCCAGCAGTGTTTTTGTATGAATTTTGCTTGTGCACCTAACATATGTTAATATGAGGGGGGCTCCAATATCCACTGATATGACGACAGGAAGCCTGACTCACTTCTAACAAAAAGAGAATTCTAAATTTTAAAGGTGTGATACCATACTGTACCATACCACAATACCATAATTACTAATGAGTATCATCAATATTTGAATATTACATAATAAAAGCGTGGGAACCAAAAGCTATAATTTTTCTGGTTAGTACACAGTAAGTTTAGTACCTAGTGGGCGTGTCTACATGAGATGCTTACTGCTCAGTAACCATATAATACTGCGCAGTAGCATGTCACACAGTGGACAGTGCTAATATGCTACTGCGCAGTATTATTAGGTTACTGCATAGCAACAGCATTTAAAAGATGTTTGCTGATGCTACTGCATAAAAACTCTGGTTTACTGCACATTTATTTAGTACTTGCTTATACAAATACTAAATAAATGCGCAGTAACCACTCGCAGTAGCATCTTGTGCAGATGCACCCAGTGAAATTTATTTACCAAAAGGGAGAAGAAGAGACAGTTTCTCCAGGTATTTCCTATCAGGATTTCCAAAATTCTCAATACTGGTTTCTTTCATTAAAGCTGCCAGTTATGCCCTTCTGATATCTGTGTCATGTTCTTTGGATTTTGAAAAGAGCTTATAGTCTCCAAAAAAGACCTGAGCACTTTTGAAAATATGGCCCATTGTTAGAAGTCTCAGAGGGAGCTCATCTCTTTTGGAAATCTGTCTCCCATTGTAAATCCTGATCATTTGTAAATGAGCTTACACATGCTTCTAGTCCTTATTTTGATATGAACAGCGTGCTGATGTCATGGTCAGCAACAGGACATACTGTTCTGTCCCCTGTCTATAAATGTATATACCATTCTGATGTTGCTCAGTATGTTTAATCACTTCCTCTCTGCTGTGTGTCTATTTAGGCACAGCACAGATGAACAATTACATGTATTACTTCAAAAAGAAACTTGATAATGTTTTGCTTTAAGGCAGTTTCCACATGTCAATCCACAATGATATATAAAGGTAGGTGCTGTTCCCTGATTTGAGGTTGCAAATATTCAATGGTACATACAAATACTAGTTTTTGCTAGCACCACAGGCATGGTGTGCATGCATTTTTTTTAAATAAACCTTATTCAATGTAAAATGAATATCTTGTGTTTGTAGGCTGCTTCCTATATTCTTAAACACTATTAATTTGTTTTGTTATAGACACTTTGTACAAGCTGAAGTTTAGAAAAGACATAAACAGATTTACATCAACGAGGTAGGAAATATACACCTGATATTAAAGAGAAAATAGATTTCCATGTTGAAAATAAAATAGATTTAATTAAACAAAATGTTTCTTAGTCTTTAAAAGACTGTTTTGGTATTATACACAAAAACTACATTAAAACACTGTCAAGGTTCCAAAGTAATGTATTCAAGAGGTTAGAAAATGCCCACGTCAAAGCTGCATGCACAGTCTTAACTCATTCTGTTGACATCTCTAGCAGAGATTGGAACAGAATCCACCAGTCCTGTATTTCAGTTGTCAGTAGCAGTATTTTTGGTTTGTCCTACAATTAAAGTGTTTCGGTTTTAGCATTGAAAGAAAAACTGTAAACAAAAAATGTTTTTTTCAGGAACTGCCTTTTAAATTTCAAAAATATCCCAATGAAATAGTTCAGACTTCCAAAATTTCTAGAAAAACATAGTCTGCATTTGACCTGCCTTCACAAATGTTGTCATGTAAAAGATTGTGAGGCTGAAGCCTGCTCAGTATGGATTGAATATTGAGAGATAGTGAGCACCACACCTGTAACAAGCTTCATGAAATAACTGCAAATGGTGATTTTCACAGGCTTGGAATTGCTGGTATGTCAAATCTGAATGGATTTCCATGGAAATAGAAAAAACATCCTTTTGTAGTTATTCATAATAGCCAATAATTTCCTTATTCTCATCAGTATCAAATCAAAATCTCTTCTAATTATTATTTAGCAACTACAAATCTGGGAACAACTAGATTCTCAAATAAACAATGCGTGGAATGCACTTCCCCTGCTGTGAAGAAGCAGCCAGCTGGACCAGGGGTGGGCAAAATAGGGCCCACAGGTCCTATCCGGCCTGCCAGTCGACTCTGTCTGGCCTGTGGCTGGCCCCCTGGTGCTCTCCACCCTGCTAGCTCTACAGAGTGGGAGGCGCCAGGACTGGGGCACAGCTCCCTGGGGCTGGACAGTGCAGGTGGGACCCCCCAGGCCAGGCAGGGACATTGGCACCAACTTCTGCAAGGGTGGCACCGCTAAGCCCAAAAATTAATGACTGAGGCAGGGCTGGGATGGCCATATGCACCACCACTTGCTTTTTTTTTTTTTTTTTTTTTTTTTTTTTTTTTTTTTTTTTTTTTTTTTTTTTTTTTTTTTTTTTGTCATGGAAGAGGGGCGAGGGGGAGCAGGATACACAGCTGTGGCTCAGCCCTGGGCAAGGCTGCAGGGAGTGGAAATGTAATGCAGTTCAGCCAGGCAGCGGGGGGCATGGCTCTTGCTTATCTGTGCAAACTCTCCCAGCTCCCCCAAAGCCATAGTGAGTTGAACTGATCTGAGCTAGGGGTGGGTCCTCAGCAGTGGCAGCTGCTCCCCACACACACCCTAGGTGACACATTCCCTCACACACTGGGGTGGCCCTGGCTGCCCTGCTGCCCCCCCCCACTTCAGGCACAGTGCTGCCCTTGACCCCCTCAGATGTGGTCCCTCCTGTGAGGTCTGGGAGAGGCAGTTTGAGGGAGCTCCAGAAGTAAACAAGCCACTCCACTCCACTCCCCGCTGCCCTTCTCCAGCCACATCTCAGCCCAGCCTTAGGGCTCCCCCGCTCCACTCCTCCCACCCCAACTCCTCTGGCCAGTCCCCATCCTCTCTTCCCGCCTCCCTGAGGCCTTCCTGAGCTGTGCTCTGTGGCTGAGCTTCTCTGCCCTTGGTCCCTACACCTCTGCTTCTCCCCTTCTTCTGTCCCTGTCCAGATCTTCTCCTCCTCCCTTCTCCCCATCAGTTTGTTGGGCTTTCTCCAACCCCTAGTCCCATCATACTACATTTTACCCACTCCTTCTCTTTCCTTCCCTCTAGGACATGAAGTGTCTATTAATCTACACCAATAATTTTAATTAGTATTTTAATTAATCCACCATTAATTTTGTGTGTGGGGCCCTCAACAACTCACCAAAACTCATTAAGTGGCCCTCCAGCCCAAATCATTGCCCACCCCTGAACTAGACTGAAGAGCAGACTAGTCCTGCAATAATTTCCAACTGATAGAACTTAAAAAGGATTGCAATTTTTATAAGAGAGTCCCTTATATTTCCAGTTTTGAGTGATTCAGGAAAGATTCACAGAAAACCTTTGACCATGGCTATAACATCTGCAATGAGCCTTTGACAGCTGCATAGCTCTCCCTATCATCATAGGGACCACTAAACAATTTTTCAGATAGTAATTTAGGCATCTTTAAACTGGCATATTCCACAGGTTGGCCAGCATCTTCATGAGTTATAGCCTAATATATCTTGAGAAGTGGTATAAGAACAGGGCTTGAATGGTCCAAGAATATAGCAGTAGTAGGTGCCAAATGATTTACAAATTTGCCTGTACTGGTTCAAGAAAACTAACGCAGTTTTGTTTTCTCACAAGGTTGACCTGTTGTTTTATGCATGAAATGCTATTTACCTTGTGACTAAACCAGATTTGCAGCAATGAATTGGGTCACAAAAATGTAATTTTTTGTGACAGAAATGTGAAACTTGTCCACATTATTTCAGCAATTTAGTTCTTGTAAACTTTACTCAGGCTCTTTTGTTATTTATGCTTCTTATAATAAATTATGTGGTTCTTAAATGTAAGGTGATTTTCAGGCTTGGGAGGGGAGTACGGTATTGTGGATAGGGCTGGAAATTGGAAGACCTGGGTTCTGTTCTGAACACTGATCTCCAGTGGGATGCTGGCCAAGTCTCTTCACCTCTCTGAGTCCATTTCTTCTTTCATACTTTATTGTTTTATTTAGACTATAAGATCTTTAGGGCAGGGACTGTCTGCCACTCTCATTTGGAGCTGCTAAGTGAAATACTACTACTACTACCATTGACCTGCTGCTGTGGTCTGATGCTGAATCTGGGAGAAAGCTCCTTCATATACAGTATTGCTTCTGTGCAATGTACAATGTTCTGCCCTATTTCATGACTTTAGGAGATTTAATAAGGTAGAAGGAGCAGGAGACTACACCTGTTCAGACTCTTTGCTGATCCCACATGGGGACACCATGTGAACATGACCTTCAGATTACTTTGGTATTGGATTTGTAACAACAATTTGATTAAGGCAGATAAGCAGGCAAGCAGCTGCTACCACCTAGTTCAGAAAGAGCTAGGAATAAGCTGCGCCTCAGACCCAAACCTTTTATTGCTGCAATTCATGAGAACACAGGAGTTGATCATTATGTTGGCAATCACTAATACTGCTACAGACTGTTAGTCATACAGGCTTGAATAAATTGCCTAATGATTGATCTTTTGCTTTGAAATAAAAGCTTTGGAATATATCTGGGCCACATGAAAACATAATAAAGTTGTTGTGCTTTCTGGCATGCTGAAGGTCAGTTTGATTTTAAAAGAATTAGTTGGAGTGTGTTTATTTTTCGTTACGGATTTAAAATACTCATCCTCCTGGCTTTTAGCAGCTGATCTCTGCTATCTGAAAAATGCATTTGTAAAATATGAAACTTGCGACTTTCCTTTTCCCCTCTAGATGCAAACTCCAGGCTCATTCCACATTTTCTGTTGTAGTTCAGAATTAATAAAAAGCTGTCTCTCTTGTTGATTTTAGTGCTTGCTTCATTGCAGACATTATCACGGTGCCTTATCATGGTGCTATTAGAAGGGGCCAATTTGAACATACTGTTGAAATGACCAGGGTATCACAAAGGAGTGTGGGAAATCAACTATTAGCACCCACTTTGGTAAGTTCAACATCTTCAAGCTGGATCATTATTGACAAAAATTTTGATCAACTTGTTCCATAATGCATCCATGCCACCCTACTTTCACGAGGTACTTTATGTTTGGTAACTTGAGTTAACTGTAAGTGCAAAACCACTATCCCACAGAACTGTCAGTATATGACAAAATGTTAGTGCAGTTCTATTAGTAAAAACCTCATTCTCTATGTGAGAGATCAACGCCCTACTGACTTCTTCACTTGACATTTTACAGAAATGTGTAATATGAAGGTGTGAAAGCAAAGTATAATTAAATTACACATAGAATAAGCATATTCGGACTTTAAGAATTGTTCAGTTTTTGAGCTACATGGTTCACAAATGTAGCAGGTTCTTTAGGCAGAAGAGAGGGGACATGAAAGTACACTGTAACAAAGGAGCTACTAGTGCAGTGACAAACTGAAGTCGTCTAGCTCAGAGTGGGCAACTATTTGGGCTGACAGACCACTTAATGCATTTTGGTGAGCTGTTGAGGGCCACGTACATAAAGTTAATAGTGGATTAATTAATTAAATATTTATTTAAATGGTTTTATATAAATTAATAAAATTAATGGATCCTTCATGTCCTAAACTCTAGGACCTGGAGGGAAAAAAAGAGAAGCAGAAAAGGCTGAAGTGCTCAGTGCCTTTTTTGCCTCAGTCTTCAAAAGCAAGGTCAGCTCCCAGACTACTGCATTGGGCAGCACAGTTTGGGGTGGAGGTGAACAGCCAACAGTGGTGAAAGAACAGGTTAGGGACTGTTTAGAAAAGCTGGACACGTGCAAGTCTATGGGGCTGGATGGGATGCACCCAAGGGTTCTGAGGCTGATGCAATTGCAGAGCTGCTGGCCATCATCTTTGAAAACTCATGGCAATCAAGAGATGTCCTGGATGATTGGAAAAGGGCAAACATAGTGATCATATTTAAGAAAGGGAAAAAGAAGGATCCAGGAAAATACAGATCAGTCAGCCTCACCTCGGTCCCTGGAAAAATCATGGACCAGATCCTCAAGGAATCCATTTCTAAGCATTTGGAGGAGAAGAAGGTGATTAGGAACAGTCAGCATGGATTCACCAAGGGCAAGTTATGCCTGACCAACCTGATTGCCTTCTATGACAAGATGAGTGGCTCTGTGGATGTGGGTAGACCAGTGGATGTGGTGTACCTTGATTTTAGCAAGGCTTTTGATACAGTCTCCGACAACATTCTTACACACAAGCTAAGGAATAGGGGTATGCAAAACAGGCCCTATTTGATTCGGATTCAGATTTGGCCCAAATTGGGGACAGTGATTCAATTTGTTGATTAGGATCACTGTCCCTGATTTGATTCAGCCAAATCCAAATCTGAAGATTCAATGCTGATTCAGAGATTCAGCGATTTGGACACAGACATAGCTTTAAAAGCTTTTTCTACATACCTTGAGGTAGCAGGTGTGGCTTATGATCACTCTCATGCTGGGGCACATGGAGCGTCCCACAGGAGTGCAGGGGGGTGCCCTCCACATGCTTGGCAGCGAACCTGGAAGTGGATCTTCCAGTCCACTTCTGGCTCTGCTGGGGAGCATGCTGGAGGGCCCCCCTGTGCCTCCCTGGCTCGGCAATCAGCCACAGGGAGACCCCGGGTGCTATTAACGTTCTAGTCATTCTACCAGGACTTTAAAGAGATGGGATAAACAGACATTCTCTGAGAAAATGCTGGTTTGTCTTGCTTTTACAAAAAACCTGGTGGTATGCCAATGGCTGCTGAATAAAAATGTAATAAATAAATAAATTCTTCAAATCTCAAGAAACACGTGAGTTCAAGTTTTAGTGGACTTGGGGGTGGGGGTGGTTTGGATCATTAAGTCCATGACATAGTAGCTGGAATTTAACTTTATGATTAAAATATGGGTCAGAAAGGAAGGACCCCAAAGTTCTGGTCCTGTATATATTTTTGATTAACTGTGTAATTGAGCCTCAGGTAAGCCTCTTCATATGTCATAGCTGGTACATTGCTTTCCTTTCATAGGAATTTCCTGTGAATTGAGATTACCATAATCATGGCAAATCCAGTATGTCCATTCATCACTTTTTCTTCATTTATATCACTCTAATTCTTTCCTACTTCTAAAAGATTAGCAAGCATTTTAGCTTAACTTTTCCAGAAGAAGTCAAATTTATGCCCATATCCCTATGGATCTCCCAGCATGTGTCTTCTTTTTAGACCAAAAGGAAGCACTGCTTTTATATCCACACATTATTTAAGACCAACCATGTAAAAGTACACAGCTTATTGAAAAGAAAATGCAAAAGATGACTTTACCTCTTGTACCTCTTTACCTATACTAGAAAAGACATATGATAGCTGGGGCTTTTCTAGCTTGCTTTTAAAGACAATGTGATCCAGTAGCTAGAAACTGAAGTTATACAACTTCAAATTTAAAAGGTGTTGTTGTTTCCTAGCCATGAGGCTAATTAAAGTTTGGAAGACCCTCCAGAAGATGGTGGACTCATTAACATTAGGATTTATTTTTAAAAGGTGTTTTAAACTTGCCTTTGGGAAAAATTTCATAGCCTGAATTTGGGGGAATGGACTAGCTAGTCATATTGGTCCCTTCTGCCCTTGAAATCTAAAGTCTGTCAGTCTCCCTTTACATTTTCTTTTTTTCATGCGTATCTGGAAAGAACAGGTTTTCCTGCATTGTCCTCATATGCTCACAACACCTGCAGTCCTATATTAAGACAATAATTACAATCAAATCTCATGCTTCTACAGCATTTCAGCTGGATGTCTTCTGAATTCAGGAAGGTTTCTTTTTCCTCAGTGCACAACTACATATGTATCTGGTTCTGCTTTTCTTCTCCCACTTCCTGAGATTGTTCAGGGCTGGAGATGGTACATTGGATGGGATTTGGTTTTGTATAGTAACAACAGTTGCCACACAAGGGGTGAAGAGTGCCTCTACTACCCAGCCTAGCCTACAGTCTGGTAGCTATGGCACACTCCTTGGAGGTGAAAGACTTGCATTTGAATCCCCTCAGGTTGAGGAAAGCTTAGAATGCAGGAATCAATCATACTGCTTAAGCACATTTTAGGCTATTATGTAAAAGGTAAGCACTACCACGCGCTGCCTTTATTTTAAAGATAAAACAGTTATTACTGCTCAGCTCTCCTCTCAGGAGAGGATCTGGGTCTCAAATGGATGGAGACACCTTCCTGTGACCATGACTCAGGCACCTAAACTCCAGAGAAGGAATGAGAATCCTGACACTCCTGTGTTCAGTATGTGGGTGTTTTGGATCACCTTTCTAAGACACCTAAGTCTTTTCATCCATTGAATAGGGAGCCCTAACAGCCTAAATCTGAGTTTTGGATTCCACTTCGGGGTCCGGGCACCCAAAAGTTAAGGGTCATAGCACCTAAGTCATTTGTTGAATCTGGCCCAAGGTTACACAGCCCACTGTAATATCTTTCCTCTCACCCAGTATTTGTGGTTATTCAGCAACATGTGGGCCAGCCTGATTCAGCAAGCATTCCTTGAGTCTATGTACTGGGTATGAAAAATATCTCAGTGCACATGAAATTAAGCAATTGATAGCATGCCCAAGGTAATTTAAGAATCACCCTAGGGAAGAGTTTCCACAAAGACTGCCACCACAGTTAGCACCACGGGTACAGCATCTTAGTAGGGGAACACATAGAATTTTGCATTGTCATTGCCTGTCCCCTCCCGGTCTGAAGTAAACAGCTTACTTCACTCTTTAGGAATATCAGTCTGACATCTTTTACAAACAATATCTTTATATTTACACATATTCATGTAATTACCTTCAATGATTGAAGCTTGTTGTCAAGTTCCATTCTCCTAAAAATCATAGCTCCATTAACAGTCTCTATTCTGTAAAGAACAAATGTTTTCAACAGTGAAATGTACAAAGGCCATTTAAGCATCTACAGCTATTTTATAATGTTTAGTTAATATTTATATTGCCTGCTAGGCTCCATTATGCAACTACAGATTCATAGGAAGACATAGTTGGTACATGAAAGATTTTATAATCTAAGAAGACAAGAGGCATTGGAGAAAAGACTGGAGAGAGGGATCCATAAGATATTTATTTGCTCTCTCAATTTAGCTGTCATCAGAACCAATGTGATCTTTAGACTGAGGAAGTCTTATAACAATCTAGAAATTCTCCCAGTGTATCATCATTCTAGCAATAGCTTCAGCAAACAGTATTGTGCTGATCCAGCATAAGAACCTGCCTGCCTCATGCTTAATAATGCTTGCAAGAACAATTTTAATTTGGTTAGCTGCCTTCTGCCTTCTACAAGAAATAGTACTTTTTTCTTAGCAAATGAAGTAGGAAAGAAAGCATAGGGTAACAAGAAAATATTTCTTTTGGGGCTCATAGTATAATAGGGAATTACACAAAAAATATCTGAAGATCACGGTCTACCTTAAATAATTGCCTGAAGATTTTATCAAGTCCACTATTTGCTTGTGATTAAACCCCTCGATGTTCACTCCATTGATATTGGCAAGAATATCACCTGGTAAATTTAAAGAACAGTAAAATGAACATCTAAAATCCACATCACTCTGTCAACTTTCACTAAAAAATAATAAATAGTCTAAATCAGGGGTGTCAAGCTTCATTGGCTCCCCTGGGCTGGATCCAGACCCCAGAGCTCATTGGCTAGGGACAGACATTACACATGGAAGTGATCAGAAACTGGTTTAAACCTGTAACAGAACATAAATTCAGTGCACATAAACCAGTTTCAAAATGGGTAAAACTGGTTTAAGATAAACATGGTTGAATGTAATATCAGACTTAACTGATTTGGATCAAACCAGCTTATGCAAGGTCTGTCCCAAACCCCTTCTGGGTTTAACCAGAGCCCCCCAGCATCCCAGATGTTTTGCAACCCTGGGCTCTGTGGGCCTATGCTCCCTGCTCCAGAGAACAAGGCTGGCCCTGCCCTTCAGCTCCCTAGTCAGAGCTCTGGCAGAACCTGCAAGTGCAGCAGGATCTACCTGGCTTCCTCCTGTCCCTCTCCCCACACCGCTCACTGCTCAAGCAGCGATCCCCCCCTCCCTCCTTCCCACCTCCTACAGCATGGACCCCAGCCCCATGCACCCTAGGCATGTGCCAATTTCACTGGGACAGGCAGACAGAACAGTGTCCACTTAGGGCTTTTTGGAACTAATCAACAGGTCAGCCTGTAATGTTCCTTCCTTGGAAAAAGCTGTTTAAGAGCTTAAACTAATGAGAGAGGCTTTTGTTTTGTTGATGAGCTGATAAATGCTGCAGCTCCCTTGCCTGTCAGGTTTGTAGACAGCATGAAGAAGCAAGGAGAGGGAGACTGAAAAGCTCAGTACTGTCAACAGATGCATGCACAGTATACACCCCCCTTTGCCTCAGAGTGCTAGCCAGGGGCTGAAGTTTGGCCACTCTCCCAATCCTTGAACAGCGAGTGTGGAAAAGCCTAGGACTGTGCAGGCAGGGTGGGGGTTTAAACCCCTCCCTAATCATAGGTCCTGCTAGGGCTCAGCCATCCCCTGCTTCAGCTCAGCACTGTCGAAGGGAAGGGAGAGACGCTCTCGTGCCCCCCAGCTTCTAGCCTGAGCCACTGCAGGCATGTGCCTGCATTCCTTCAGTCCAGAGGGAATGTCTGTAAAGTTGCAAACTGATTCAATCTAGACAGGTTAGACTAACCTGCAAAGATTGAATCAATTCAGGCTCAGGCTTTTTGAATGTCTGTCCCTAGCCCTTATGCCATCCTCTGCTGCCAATAAATGACCCCAATGGGGCTCCATATTCAGGAATCTGGGGACAGACCCACTCTGGCTTGCCCCAGGTCTATATTCCTAGTGCCGCATACCACATGAAACAGCTCCACTGGCTGCATCCAGCCTGCAAGCCGTATCTTTGACATTCCAGTTAAATACACAAAAAATATAGGAGGGAAAGGCAAGTCAAGTAAAAACTATAGGATAATATGTTTTGTTTTTACCAGTTTGTAGGCCAGAGAGATGGGCAGGGCTTTTCTCTTGTATTCTGCAGACATAAGTACGTGTCTCTGGGGAGTAATCATTCTGGCTGGGTAATCTACAAGTCTAGAAAGATGAACATAAGAGTGGAACCATTAGTAAAGCCTCGGAACAAATTTTAAAAGTAGTTATTGCTGTGCAGCCTAATCAGTGGACAGTTTAATTCATGGCACTTCAGCATTTTACTTATGTAAAAGTATGCATACACTTTTACAAAAATAAGTTATATCATCATGATTGAGAAATTCAGGAGGCTTGCAGCACAAGTAATGCGTTTGCCTAAATTTATATTGTAAAAATGAAATAATAACACTAAATAATGCAAATCCTTTGTTTACTGATTTTTCATAGATTCATAGATTAAGGGTCAGAAGGGACCTAGTAGATCTTCTAGCCCGACCCCCCGCCAGGGTGGGAGAACAACAAAAAACCCCAAAAAGAGAAACGGGACTCAAATGAGTCCAGCCAGGTAGGCATCCAGCCTCTTCTTAAAGATCCCCAAAGACCCCCAAATTTTCATATCAAACATATACTGCCTTTTCTTAGCCAAGGCTTCAAATGAGATGCCAACACTGAATGTACCTTAAAAAATAAAAATATACCAAAAATAACTTTTTAAATCAGAGGGCAAAAAATCTGCCCCATCAATTTATATATAAGCATAGTAATTGACTCAATCATCTTCACTTCTGACAGCTCTCTATTTCTGACCTGAATACTTACACATTTATTAGCCACTGGGCTAAGTTAAAAAAAGTTATGCTTCATCTTATACACTAATTTGGCTGAAAACACTGTTCCCTTTTTGTGCATAAATATGGGAAACTATTTCAAAGATATTCTTTTATACATTGTAAATAGGGAAATCGCTACTTATTTCCTAAAATAAGCTTTAATATTGTGCCTTAAGACACCGATGCTTTTATTGAGAACATATATAAATGTATTTTATATAATCTTTTAAATATGTAGATCTTACTTATCTCTCATTATCAGCATTAATGATATAGTTCAATGTTATGGCCATGCTACCTATTGTAATTATGCAAAATGTTAAATGAACATTGATAAAGACTATTGGAATATACACACATACAGAATTAATTTGTGTATATATAGATTACAGGCCTCTTTCTGTACTATTTGTATTAGGCAACTACTCCTGGAAAATGTATCTATTTGGTTTTTCTAATGATCAAGGCAAAATTTTATTGAAATCAGTTTATGACAAAGTGTGAACGGTTCTTGAAAGCACCACTGTTTCTGAAAGAAGCATAACTGAGATTGTTATCTCCTAAATACATGTAATCTGCTATGGTCTGACCCTATAAACTTAGATTTCAGTGGGACTACTAATGTGAGGATTACTTCTGTGAGTAACTGTCCAAAAGCAAGCACTATGCTAACTAGTACTCATAATTAGTTTTTATTTTTGTTTGTTGGGTATTATATTGGGGGAGCAGAGGAGGGGCTAGAGAGAGCTGAGAGAGTTTATTTTTGTATATTTTACTTAAAAATGAGTGTTGAACTTAGAAAAATTATGATGAGTGAAGTACCTATAAACCTTAACTTGTTAACATTTATTTCCAAAAATGTATCTATTTTAAAAGTATAGTACCATATGTTGAGGAGAAAGTATTTTATGGCTTTTATATTTTTGCATGTTATTCTCCTGTCCTCAGACATTTGTTATCCCTTGAGGGTGGCACAAGGCTCTGTGGTTCTACCTCAGAAAACAGGAGGAATTCCTATTGGAATTATGTCATGTTTGCATTTCCTCTCCTGGACCTAGAACTGCTACATAAAAATATGCTTCGCCTACCCGCTCCCACCGAGTATGAACCCAGTCTTGGAAATGAGGTGAGACAACCGCCTTAGAGTGGCCTAAGTACATGCAAAGAAACACACTGGAGACACAATGCCTAAGAACAGCATTAGGTCACGCATCCATGACTGCTCTAAGTTGGCCGCACTGCTTAATTGCTCAGATTTGATGCACATTGGGTTGGAGTGAATGTCTTCCATCCGCATTCCAAGGTGTGCCACAGACAGTGTGTAGACATGGCTTTAATTATATGTATTAAGGCTATAGAAGAGTTATCCCAGAGTTGCCAGGCACAAGCTGGTCTAGAATCTTTCTCTAGCTTTCACTAAAAGGTCAGCATCCATGTTAGACACTGTATTTACCCATTTTGTACTGAACATATATGCAGTCTACAACTGGATTTGACTTTAACTTTCAGGTGTGGACAACCCCTTGCACCAAGACAAGCGGCTTGCCTAAAGTATTTAAAGGCAGTGACAAAGATGGAAATTGAAATCAGGAAGCCTCTTACTTTGAATCTTCTGTTCTAATCATCTCCAAATATTCCTTTCTACTGGAAGCAAGAAGTACGCTGTGGATTCAGTTATTTGTTCTCCAGCTATGACAACCATAACAAGCCACAAAGGTTGTAGGTATTTGACTTCACAATTCTGTTTGTCCCAAAATAAAGACAGGCCAACCACAAACTTTGAATCTAGATTTGGATTCAAGTGTCATGGGAGGTTATCAGATGAAACATTTTGGTCTGTGTCCTTTTCTAGTCACAAACAGTTTCAAGTATGTCAAAACCCTGTGTCATTATAGGAAGTACTTCAGTTTCATTATGATCATAAGCTGGTCATGCTCAGTCACATAATTAAATTATCTTCACAGTATTAAGTCTCACCTGAATTTCAAACCCAAATGTTTCATTATCTTCTTTGATAATAGCAAGGAGTTGTCTGTAAGAAAAATACATAAATTTGCACATGAAAGTCACACCACCTTTTTCAGTTTCATGTATTACTAAGTAATATACAATGGTCCTATTGACCAGCAGCCATAGGTTAATCCTATGAATATTGCACTTAGTTATTTCTATGTTGTCTCCTGTTCCAAATTCAGACTACATACAAACTGTACCTGATCTGGTGGTTAACAGCCGTGGTACCAAACAATCCCCATTTTCTGTCCAGTTTTGATACTAAACCAACATCAATATTGTTGATACTATCACTAGTAGTGCTGAAAGACTATAATAGATGTATTAGCACTGCTGACAATATAAAGAAAGAAAAAGTAATGATAGTAGGAAAAAAATCTCTTTACCTTTGAGGCCCTGAAGAGTCTAAGGAACTTGATCTTCTTAAAGCAAACTGGAAACAGAAATGGAAGTTTGTAATTCCTAGTAGGTTCATACATTCATCTTTTCATATATAACACATATAGTTAATGATCTAGTAGACCAGTGAGGGCCAACCTTTTCACTAGGAATACCACAAATTAAGACCTTTGTCCTTTCCGAGTACCACTCTGATCCCTTTGCTCTGCACCTCATTTGCATTCTGCTCCCATCCCAATCTGCTGCACTGAATAAGCATACTCCAAAATCAATCTGTAAAGCCACTACTGCTCACTTTTGAGTCCCCTGGGAGAGAACAGTTTGTACTGTTACAAATTAGGTTTCACTATGTATTAACTACCACAGGAAATGTAGACTTAAGAAACTGGCAACATATCTAAACAGCTGTGAAACTCTTATATATAAAGTGAGACTACAGTGAGGTTTCTGACAGGGGTGTATAAAATGGGCTATATTCATTTCAGATTCGGATTTGGCCTGAATCGGGGGCAGTGATTCGATTCATTGATTCGGATCACTGTCCCAACTAGATTCAGCCAAATCTAAAGATTTGATGCTGACTCAGAGAATCAGCGATTCGGCCATAGACACAGATTTAAATGTTTTTTCTACATACTTTGAGGTACTCATGAATGCTGAGATGGTGGGGCAGATGGAGCGTCCCACAGGAGCATGGGAGGACCTCCCGCAAGCTCAGCAGCGAACCCAGAACTGAACCAGTAGTACTTCCGGTTTGCTTCCAGGTCTGCTGCCAAGCGCACAGGGGCAGCCCCCCTGCACTTTCCCTGGCTCGGTGATCAGCCATGGGGGGACTCCAGGTGCCCCCCCCAAACCCAAAGCTGTGTCTATGTCTGAATCGTTGAACCTTTCTGAATCTCTCTGAATCGATTCGGAGGATTCCAATTTGATTCGGAGAGACTAAACGGTCTCCTGATTCAATTCAGATTTGGAGATTCAGTCACCAAATTGGGCCGAATCTCCTCCAACTCAACTCAGCAACTGAAGCTTCAGCCCTAGTTTCTGATACTATAGCATGGCAATATTTTTGTCATTGAGGGCTTTATGACACCAGTTGCATGCCATTACAAAACCTGTGTTAGTTCTCCATGAAGAAATTGCAGTAATGTGGTGTGGTGGTGATTCAAGCTTTATTTTAAAAACTGTACAATATCTGCCCTTGTATAAGGCATGATTGTGCTGCCAATAGGATAAAAAAGAGAGCTTTGACTAGATCTCACTACCACCCAGTATAACAATAATGCAACTCACTATGCATTACTGTGCTGGGATGATCACTACAACTTAACACCTTTGTGATCACTTAGAGCTCGGGAACAGCTACCCTGAAAAAGGAAACCTCTGGGAAAGTGTACAACAAGTGTAGCAAGGTGATGACCAGGATGATAGCTGCCAAAGCATTTTAGGGTTGTAAACACAAAGGAAAATGCTGTTTAAGGTGATGAAACATTGTAACAAGAAGTCGTTGGATGAAAATATGAAGAAAAAGTAAATATCAAGAGAATGATTCGGAGAGTGAAACTGTTTAGATTACAGAATTCATTCCCCCACAGTGAAATGCTAACACTTAAGACATTGCTTAATGTCTTGAGACATTGGAACTGAAAACTGCAATAGGTAGCAATTCATAAAGAGAAATCCTGTATTGGTATGGTGGTGGGGACAAGCAGCTCTATAGAGCTTTGCAATTTGTTTGATTCTATAATCTTAGTTTGCACAGATCTCAAGAAAGCTGAGTACTAGTAGTTCTGCAGAACCTCAAGTAGCAACAGCCCTTCATGTTCTTTGATACTGCCGCTATTATAACAGTACAGTATGCTATGGAAATTGCAGAACCTAATCAAAGTGTGAGATGTGCAGTTTGAGCACCCATGCTCTTCATTCAGGCACAGTTTATGCCTATGTATACCCAGCTTCCACGAACACCAGCCATGCCATCTTATTTCTAGGAGGTTGCAAGCAAATCTCAAAGAACTCATTTGAGTGGTGTTAGGAAATACACTTGTTTACAAATCATTCTATTTTTCCATATATTTGGGAGCCTTTCATGCTTTGTTTACCCTTTTCTCAAGGGCAACATCATATTTCAT